AAGTCCTATGCTCAACCATTGTGGAAGACAGTGTGGCGATTCCTCAAGGATCTAGAAATAGAAATAGCATTTGACCCAGCAATCCCATTATTGGGTATATGCCCAGAGGATGATAAAGCATTCTATTATAAAGGCACATGCACACGTATGTATATTGTGGCACTGTTCACAATAGCAAAGACTTGGAACCAACCCAAATGCCTATCAATGATAGACTGGATAAAGAAAATGTGGCACATATACACCATGGAATACTATGCAGCCATAAAAAAGGATGAGTTCATATCGTTTGCAGGGACATGGATGACTCTGGAAACCATAATTCTCAGCAAACTGACACAAGAACAGAAAACCAAACACTGCATGTTACTACTTATAAAGGGTGTTGAACAATGACAACACATGGACACAGGGAGGGGAACATCATACGCTGGGGTCTGACGGGGAGGTGGGGACCTAGGGGAGGGATAGCAGTGGGTAGGGAGATAGGGGAGGGACAGCATTAAGAGAAATACCTAATGTAGATGATGGGGTGATGGATGCAGCAAACCAACATGGCACGTGTATACCTATGTAACAAACCTGCATGCTCTGCACATGTACCCCAGAATTTAAAGTATAATAATAATAATATTAATATAGAAATCCTAGCATTGTTCCTGAGAATATGCTACTTCCCCAGGACTGGTGACCTTTGAATTATGTCTCTGTTATTACTCTGTCATTTCTGGTACAGTTCCTAGCACACAGTGGGTGCTCAAGTAATGTTTGCTGAATGAATATGGAATTTTTGTACATGAGAGAGTCATGCTAACTCCAAAGGCTGAGCCCTTAATGGTAAAATTTCAGCTGCAGACCTAATCTTAACAAGCATCCTGGTCTTTCTGTATTTCTTCTAGTGGTTTCATTCATTAACACCCAGAATGAACATTCACAACTAAATGGCAACCCACGGGACAATGCTTTTGAGTGGAGGTTTCTCTGCTACTCTCTAATCACCACAGAGAAGTCAAAGGTGATCCACTGCTCAGGACAGAAGGAGGCTGACCCTTCTCTGCTGTTTGGCTCAGGCTTGTGTTAAGGCAATGCATTTTCTGCATGATTCTAGTTTCTTCTTTCTGTTGACGTTCTTTCCTCTGTAGTGTGAAGGTTAGATTAGGTCAGTTGTTCTATACCTTTCATCTTGTATGTACTTTTTCTGAGGCTATTCTGACTTTAGAAAGGATTAGGTTTCCAGTTATTTGGAAGAGGGACACAGCCAGATTATATCTGGGTCTCCTTGCTGATATCTCAGCAAAACTTTTTTGAAAGTTTTGAAACTTTTTTTGGCTCATGTGAGCCAAATTGTTCTGTTTTATTTGGTGAGTACTGGTAGCCTCCCACAGTTAGATGGAAGTGGTAATTGGATGTCTCTTTCTCCACACCTTATTCACCAGGCATTACGTACCAGCGAATGTCAGTCTCAGGCAGAATTCTACAACATAATTGGATGTTTATTAGTAAGCAGTCATGCAGCCTGCTCCAGTACACTTGATGAGGTCTTTGTCCTTTTAGGCACTTGGACTAGTGCCCTGCGTGAAAGTTCATTTTAAGGCAGACAGAACAATATTCTTGGAATGGGAGGAAAAAGCTTTGAGTTTGAAGAGGTAACACAGTCCACCACAAACTGGTGGAAGGCTAGACAAGACCTAGGGTGGCACTGAAGCTGAAATTGGTGGAGATTTTTGTACTTTGTTCGTGCAAAGGTTGAGGTGCCTGCATACAATTTTCATCTGACCACATATCTGGTGCACTCCTTATTTTACCAATGAAAATTTATTTAATATCCTTTATGCTAAGCAATGTTCTGGTGCAGATTTGGAAAGCAATCTTTAAAGTTGCTTACAGTAGGCTTCTCTGGGAGATTTCTTGGTTAGGATGTTTTAAATTGCTGATTGCCCTTTGGAAGTTCAGGTTAAGGTTCACACAGAGATATAAAGCCCTGTTTGCACAAAAAGATTCTTAAAGACACCATAATACAGTATTGAGAACAGATAGTCTCTGTGTTTCTATTGCTAAAAATGATTAGGGTCTTTCCATGAGTACATAAAAAACTGAAACATCAAACCAAAAGCCACTTGTAAGAAACTTAAGAGAGTTTTGCATGATTTTTTACTTTAATGTCAAGCAATACTCCAAATTATCTCAAGCATCTGCTGTTTATAATGTGCTTATTTTAAATAAAAAATTGAAATAATATTTTAAAAATTATGTAATATTTTTATTTACTACATAGTTAATTAACATAGGTATTTTTAAGTCTTAAAATGAAATATTTTTGAATCAGTTATTTTGATAGTTTTAAAATTATCTAATGTGACCCCTTTGTGAAGTGATGCATTTGCATAAAAAAATTCATTTTAGTCACAACAGGAGAATTAGTCAACTAACTCAGTCAAGCACAGCTCTTACATTTGTTAGCAATATAGTAATTGTATTCTCACTTAGAAGATTGTTTTATTGTCATTATATATTTAGATTTCAGATACAGAATTAATTGCTGTCATATCTTGCCAAAAATTAGACAGATTTCCAAGCAATCTACATTATTTATTCACAATCTGAGCATTTTTTTCTAATATAAAAAGGTCTCCCTTTTATCAGCCACACGTAAATTCTGACGCCAAAGTAGACTGATGTATGGATGTGATGGTTACATGTGGAGGCGGGACTACTGCTTCATTCATTCTATATTTCTCCCTAAGTAAGTGCCTACTATGTCCCAGGCACGATGCTGAACACAGGATTGAATGTGTGGGTGCAGCAATAAGCTGGCAGGTGTGTCTCCAGCCCCATGGAGCTACAAACATACCAGAGGAGAGGTGTACATTGGTTTAATGGGCCAGATGACAATCTGTGTTGCCCACTCTGAGTTCCACTGTAAGGTCGGGTTGTCTTATAAACTTTGTTTGTTATCTTGTAAACTTTGTGTGTGTGTGTGTGCACGCATTTGATGCAGGGCAGTGGGGGGATGGGTAAAATATTACAGCAATTAATTAATTCTGCATGTAAAATACTATGTACGTATGATAACATACACAAAGGTAGGTGAAACTATCTTCTATGTGCTGGGCATTACAGAAGTCTCCCTGGGGAATCACATCCACTTTCAAAATATTAATTGCTACTCAAATACTGATGATTCCAAAGTATTAATATGGTTCTGATGGTTCATATTAATGGATATGGGGAATATGGTTTCCCTAGAGATTTGGACTTGCATATACAAATGCCAGCTGTCTCCACGTGGCCATCCCTCAGGCACCTCAAATGCAAAGTGACCCAGGGAATCCCATCTGTTCCATTTAGACCTGTGCACCTCACTCTCTTTTCAGTTGACGGTGCATCAGTGCTGAGGCAGAAGCTTGGGAGCCTTTCTGGACTTTCCCCACTCTTTCAGATCCACATGCAGTACAGCATCCAGTCCTCCTGATCTAGTTCCTCAGTCCTTGTGGCCATCGCCTTCTCTTTATCCCTGCTATTTCTGTTGTCAGTATCTCTGTTGTTCCTGCTGTAGTGTGAGCCCTCGTTCCAGACCACCTTGAGAATCAAAAGAACCTTCTGTGTGATCTGTTCCCTTCCATTTATCTGCCTCAAAGTCAATCTCCACACAACCCAGAGAATAACTTACTAAAGTAACAAATCCAACCAGGCCCTTCCTTGCTGATATTCCTCAGTGGCTTCGTATGCACAATGGCATCATATTTCTACTGTGGGTAGGATCCCATCACTGGGTTATGAAGTCAGGCTAGTCCTCTATGACCAGAGTTTTAAAGAAAAAATTAAGTAGGATAAATTAGGATTGAATAGGCTAAAAAACAAATAATTCTTTTACTTTTTAATTTTTTCTAGAGCTGGGGTCTCCCAATGTTGCCACTGCTGGTCTCCAACTCCTGGCTTCAGGTGACCCTCCCACGTCAGCCTCCTAAAAGGTTGGGATTACAGGCATGAGCCACCGTGCCCAGCGTAGATAATTCTTACAACACAAGAGGTAAGTAATGTTTGCAAAATTTTTGTTTCAGGTATCTGTGTGTTACTGGGTAGCTATGAAAAATGTATTTTCTTTTTAAACTAGGAATCCTGATTTCATTTTAAAAAGCTATTGATATAAAGAGCTTCTCAAAATTTGCTATGGAAATACACTTAGAGACTGCAGAGGATGAATGCAATCCCCAGAAAACATGGGACATCTTATTTATAAGAGAAAGTATTTTCTTCTTTTATCCTTACAGTCTACTAAACTTTTACATTCTGCTCATTGGTAAACCTACATTTTCCTGATTATAAATAGAATTTTAAAAAATTACTTATCTTTAAATATGTTTCTTCACCCTAAGCATTGGCAAACTCCTGCCATACCACCCGGGGTCCTCATTCCTTGGTCTCAAAGCCAGACCCAGATGTAGCTGATCAAGCTCCCTAGCGCAGGTCACACTGCTTTCTGGTGGTTGCCCCTGGCTACTCCACCAAGGCACTCCTCTACCTGGTACTTGGGTTCCAGAAATTCTCTGGCATCTCTTTCTATTCCATGACTCTTTCTTTCTTTCTTTTGTTTTTGCTCCAGCTCTTAGATGAAATGTTCAGCCTCCTTCCTTTCTCCAGGCTAACTCTTCTTCCTGTGTCAGAGCTCAGCTAAGGAGTCACTTTCCCTACAGGAAACCTCCCAACCCTCCACACTGCTGAGGGGACCACACAGATGCACCACCCTGACCCAAGCTTGCATAGGTGAGATGATAGGGAACACAAGTATGTTTTAGAAGTTCTGGTTGCTTTGCATTTCTCTAATGACCAGTGATGATGAGCTTTTTTCATATGTTTCTTGGCTGCATAGATGTCTTCTTCACATACTGGGGCCTGTATGTCCGGGGGGTGAGGGGCTAGGGGAGGGATTGCATGGGGCGGGGGGAATAGGGGAGGGATAGCATTAGGAGAAATACCTAGTGTAGATAGCAGGGTGATAGGTGCAGCAAACATGACACATGTATACTTATGTAACAAACCTGCACGTTCTACACATGTACCCCAGAACTTAAAGTATAATAATAAAATAAAACTACATTGCATAAGGAATAAAATATCTTACATATATTTAAAGAAAAAATTCTGGTTGCTGTTGACCTGGGCTCAGCCAGGCACAATTTGACATATATTTCCTGGCACGCTATGGCAGCAGACTGTTATCTTGGGATATTGATTTGTGTTGCGCCTGTTCACGTTCCGTTTCTCCTTTTATGCAGGTGGCTTAAGACTTTGGAATCTTTACCTCCAGGACGATAGGAGAAACTGCTTAAGTGAAATCTTTCTGCCTATTTTCCAGTGACTGTGTGAATTGTACTGGATGGAATGGAGAGAAAGGGGTGGGATCGTGGAGGGTACCTTTGTGGACAAGCAAGAAAAGAGAGACTCCCCAAAGGGACAAAGGCAATAAAGCTTGGTAAATCTGGGCAGGGTCCTGGGCCAGCAGAAGGACCTCAGAGATGGGACGAAGAGTGTTGAGGAGGCTGGACCCTTTCACAAGGTCTCCAGCCTGGCCAAAGACTCCTGATCCCCAAGAGAGGCCAGAAGATGTCAGAGCTGCTGGGCATAAAGGGATTCTGTGGGCCAGGACATCAGGTACCGCAGCAGAAACCAGAATAGTGGCATGAGATGGATTAAGGACACCTTCTTGACATCCCAGGGCTGTGTACGTCTCAGCTCTGGGAGGCAGGAGCCCTAGCAGGACTGTGATAGCACTTTCTGTGTGCGAGAATTGGTCTCAGATTGATTTAAAGAAAATAGAAAGGCCAGGTGCAGTGGCTGACACCTGTAATCCTAGCAATGTGGGAGGCCGAGACGGGTGGATCACCTGAGGTCAGGAGTTTGAGACCAGCCTGGCCAACATGAGAAACCCTGTCTCTACTAAAAATACAAAAATTAGCTGGGCGTGGTGGTGGGCACCTGTAATCTCAGCTGCTCGGGAGGCTGAGGCAGGAGAATTGCTTGAACCTGGGGCGGTGTTGGTGGAGGTTACAGTGAGCTGAGATTGTGCCACTTCACTCCAGCCTGGGCAAAAGAGTGAAATTCCATCAAAAAAAAAAAAAAAAAATAGAAAAAGTGGTTCTTCTTACCCATCTAGCTTTGTGGGCTAATGTGGGCTAAGACTCACATCTGTCATATTATTGATTTTGGCTTTATATTGAATATTTTGTTGTTTTCTAAGGGATAGCTGACATTTATGTACATTAGCACCTTATATGCATAGACTTATTCCCACAGTTCTTACAAGGTTGGCCCTATTGTGATCTTTATTTTGCAAATGAGAGAATAATGATAGAAAGAGTCTGCCCTAATTTCCAGCTAGTAGGTGGTGGAATGGGATTTGAACCCAGGCTGGCTAGATGTGGAGTCTGGTCACTCCCTGCTCCCTCCTCCCCCACCGCCCCCCACCGTGCTGCGTTGCTGGTAGATGCCACTTCTTTGAAGACCATGCTGTGTGCTTCCGTTTTCTTCATGAGGCTTAACTCAATGAAGGGCATCAGAGGTAATCAGCCATCATGGGTTGATTCTCTGGTTGCTGACATCATAGGAATTTACTTTCCTGTGCAAGGAGCCTGGTGCCTCCGTCCTGGATCTGCTGGACACTGGCTGAGAGGTGAGGGTGGTTAGAGCTGAGCTCTCTTCAGCACTGTGCTCCGTCTCCTCCATGCTTTCTGCTGCCCGCCCAGCCCTGGGAGGAACAGCTGGTCACCTTCAAGCTGTCTGTGTGTCCTCCCCATGGTTTTGGTCTTTCAGGCTCTGTGAGGGGTGACTGGACTCTGGAACTCTGTGCCACAGTCACGCTCCTCTCTTTGACACACTTTGCAGTGTGACTCCCAGGAGTGATTGCGGAACGATCCCCAGGGAACCCGCTGATGAACAGCAAAGATGTTGAGAGCTGGGGTGGTGACAGAGGGAACCCTCTAGACAAGTCCTGATTTTTGTTGGAAGACATTTAAAAGTCTCATCCAGTGCAGAGAGACAAGGCCCCCATGGGAGCCAAATTCCCTCTCAAACTCAGTTTTGTTTCCAGAAGAGGTCACTTTTAGCGCTTATAATTTTAATTTGAAATTAAATGTGCCTTTGGGACAGAAGCAATCTGTGCTGGGGGTGTCTTCACAACAAGGGTGACAGTGTGAATGCTCATAGCGTGCAACACCAGGGCCTAGCCAGGGACCACAGAGCAGTGATTCATGCCATCTGGGGCCTGCCGTGCCGTGAACTCCAGGAGGAAGCTGCGTGACTGAGAGCTTTTGTCGCTCAGGGGCTGGAGGGTGAAATATGAACCCTTTCTGTTTCCTTGCCTTGTTCTTGTCTGAGCCCAGACAGTGGCCTGAGCTGAGGTCTGGGAGACAGGCAAGCAGGCTGTTTCTAGCAGGCTCGTGCTGGCCTCCCACAGGACCATGGGTCTCTTTCTGCTGTCCCTGTCAGGCTGACCCCAACCCGCCCAGTGTTAGGATTGTCAGACCATCTCTCAAATTCAGAGCAACTCCTCAAACATGAATAACCTCAGACTGAATCGGCCTTTCCTGGAAGATTCACCCTTGGCAGTTTGGGGTTTTGAATTTGGTGGTTTCTGAAAAGCACACACACAGCTGCTGCAGAGGAGGCTGTGGGGCTATGGCAGCTCCATGCTGGGCATCCGATCCCACAGACTGTGCGCTGCCCCCACTCCCCAGCCAAGACGGAGAATAACTAGTGACAGGCTGTGTCTCTCCAAGGGTTGCTGGAGAGAACTAGTCAGGCGCTGGTCCTCTGGCCTTTGTTTAGGTTTCATGTATGTTGAGTTGAACAAACCAACCTGCCCCGCACATCGCAGAAACAAAGACGGCCTTTGTTTTTCATGATGACATCACTTTTCTTCTTTTTTTTTTTTTTTCAGACATGGTTTCATTCTGTTACCCAGGCTGGAGTGCATTTGTGCGATCACGGCTCACCCCAGCCTCAAACCCCCGGGCTCAAGTGATCCTCCCACTTCAGCCTCCCAAGTAGTTGGGACTGCAGGGGTATACCGCCAAGCCCTGGGTCATTTTTGAAATTTTTATAGAGACAGGGTTTCACCATGTTTCTCAGGCTGGTCTGGGCCTTGGCCTCCCAAAGTGCTGAGATTACAGGCATGAGCCACCACATCCAGCCACTTGTTAAGATTGAGAACAGAGTTGCTGGCCCTCCTTCTATGTAAGCTCCCAGTCTGTCTGTAGAGGCCAGCCTTAAGGTAACTGTACCTGCTGCTCAGATGGCCCAAGCAGGAGGATCCCAGGTGTGATATTGAGTACATTGGTCATCCCCCTGCCTCCCACCTGAATGGAAACAGTCTGAGAGCCCCCTCTGTGGCTTGGTGCTAGGCAGGACCTTAGGGCTTGCAGGTGAATTGATGAGGGAGATGAACACTGACCTGCGTCCTCTTCCCAGCATGGGACTTGAATGTTGCTCTTGGTACACATTTCTGCAGATGTGTCTCTGGCTCTAAGGATGCAGAATATTGGTGGGTCCAGTGTAGGGGCTGCCAAAGGGGGTGTCATGTGCTCTGTGGATATTCTCACGATTGTAATGGTCCCCACTGAAGTGTTTCTGTTTGTTGCAGTAAAACCTCTCCTCAGTGTCTATTACTTTTCTCTATATTCTTGGTGAAGGAGAGAGATGCTCATAGGGGCCTGAATGAGGTAGGAAGAGCAGATGCTGTTCTCTGCTTCCTCCTCTTCACCAGCATTCCTTCTGCCCTGTTTTTCCTGGCAGGATCAGCTCTACTCTGGGCAGTCCAAGCCTGTGAACCAGCACACCGAGGATCTGTGTTGGAGCTCAGTCGACTGTTTTGGAAGAGTCGCCCAGAGAAGCAGTGTGGTCTCCCATTCAGCAACAGAGTATGGGATGGTCTCTCTGAAGGGCAGAGGGTCTGAGCACTGCCTGCTTCATGGCATCTGAGGCTGAAATGCTGAATGATGCAATGAGAGGATTACAGGGGAGAAAAGGAGCTGTATGTGGGCTTGATTCTTTGCTCCACAGCTGGTGGACACAGGACAAGAGGTGGAGCTGGAGGCCAGGCCCTCCACTGACCCAAGTACACTCTGCTTTGCAGTTGTGCCCTGGGACAGGCTTCTAATCTCAAAGTGTTATGAATTCCCGCCACTGGACTCTGCCCTACTTCTGAATAATCTTCTTGGGTTGATAGTAGCCTCTCTAATTTCTGAATATTGCTTCTCATGGGCATCATGGGTTAGTTATTTTCCTTTAACTTTTTGATTAAAGAAGACCTGTAGATATGAGCTTTTTGTCGGAGATGATCTTTCCAGGCCCAAGTCTAAACTGTTGACCCTCTCTCACAGAATGAGGGCTGGCTCTTGAATTTCAGGCACTTTGGCATTTACTGAGGGAAAGAAGGAGAATGGAAGGAGTGCCTGTAGAGCACTGCCCTGAGCATAATGGCAGCTAGATGCAAGCCCAAAGCCTGCAGATGATTACACTCTCCCAGCTTGAGGACAAGCTGTCCAATTTCCCAAAAACCAATCTGACCATTGTTGAATAATCAATTTGCTGAATTAGATGAATTTACTAATTTACCAAATTACTCATTTCTTTTATGCATTTCTAAAGACTTGAGCAATTGGCATGGGCTGGGTTGGCAAGACCTGAAAGGGTTTGGGGAGTCAGAAGCAGTCGTCTCTGGGAACAACCCTGTAGGTGGCGCCGCTCCCCAGACTGAGGGGCACTGGCCGGATGCGTGAAGAGTCAGAGGAGGCTTCACAGCAGACATCCCAGCCTGCTGGCTTTTCGGTTCTTGTTTTTAAAGCAATACTTATTTTTGACTAGCTTTTTTCCTAAAAGTCAGTCAGCTCACCACTGTGGATTCTTCCCTGGCTACCTGGCCATACACACTTCCCATCCTCACACCACATCACTTGTTTAGCTCTTCATCACTCTCCTACTCCTTCACCCTGGAGCAACACCAAAGCCCTCTCATGTCCTCCATGGAGCCCTTCCAGGACTGCATAGTCATCAACTTACTGTTTTGCTCTTATGACCCTCAGAACTTCAGGGGCTCACTTTCCCACAGCATGTAGCCAAAAGAAAGAGGATTTCCTTCCTAAGAGAGATTATAGTATCAGCTCTTCAAACACCATTAAATTTTTGTTTCCTACCCTCTTATGGTTTTGGAAAATGGGAGTAGTATAAAACCAAAATTTTTGCAAACTCAGTGTGAAAACCTTCATATATTAGGCATTCAATACATATTTTAGTGATTAACAATTTTTTTTTGAGACTGAGTCTCTCTCTTGTTACCCAGGCTGGAGTGCGATGGTGCAATCTTGGCTCACTGCAACCTCTGCCTCCTGGGTTCAAGCAATTCTCCTGCCTCAGCCTCCCGAGCAGCTGGGATTACAGGTGTGTACCACCAAGCCCACCTAATTTTTGTATTTTTAGTAGAGATGGGGTTTTGCCATGTCGGCCAGGCTGGTCTCAAACTCCCTACCTCAAATGATCCACCTGCCTCGGCCTCTCAGTGCTGGGATTGTAGGTGTGAGCTACTGCGCCCGGCCCAAATGGGCCTTACCCTCTTATAACCAAATACTTGTGTCAGAGAAACTAGCTTGCTTTTATATCAAGATTATCATCCTGGATTTTGATAATGCTGCAGAAATATTGTCAAGCGTTGTTCAGTCGGCTCTGCTCTTTCCAAGTTAAGGTGAACTAAGGGAGCCAACCACAGGAAGGGTTTCCTGCCTCTTTTTTCTCCTCCCCTTAACCCTTTGCTTAAAAAGCTCTCTGAGGCCATAAACTACTAGGACACAACTCCCTGGTAGTCATTTATAACTATGTTTCTGTTTATTTTTTGGACCAATAACTTAATTTGATAGGGTTATGGGAAATCCTGTGGTCCTGTAGCTGAGAAGAGTGTGGGTCCAGACTGAGGAGGTCCTTTGGGATCTGTTGCTTCTATCATTGGCCTGACCCACTCTGGAAAAAAGAGGCTCAAATTCAGACCTCTTGGAGAAAAAGAAGAAAGGGCTTCATTCGAAGTGGGGATTTAAGAAAAAAGTGAGTCAGAGACATCTATTTGTAGTCTTGAACTAGATTTTAAGGCAAAGCAGGATCTCAGATGAGATTGATAGATGATGTGCTTGGAGTCCACATCCCATTCCTGTTGATATGTTTCACCTCTTTCTATTACCGGGATGTGATTACTTCAAAGCCAGGAAGAACTACAATCTAATTTTAGAGGGATGCCCTTCTTGTACACATTGGAGAGTATATATGTTAATATATGACATATATATCTATATAATTTTAGTGGTTGTATAAGAAAAACTGGGATAGGTAAACAAAAAAGACCAGCTGAAAGTCTACCTATGAAGGATTCAGGTTAACATAGTCACTTATATTGCCTCTACTACAGATCTGTGGGGATGATTTTTATGTGTTGTGAAGGGTTGTCTCTGAATTTCCTGTAAAGTTTGGCATTTTTAAATTTTTTTGACTCTTCTCCTTTTAAATATATATATTGGAAACTTGGCTGTTTGTTTCCAGAGCGTCACAGTGAACCAACAGACCAGCACCTCTTCATATGTAACCACCTCTTCATATGTAACCACCTCTTCATATGTAACCACCTCTTCATATGTAACCACCTCTTCATATGTAATCCACCTCTTCATATGTAACCACCTCTTCATATGTAATCCACCCTTCATATGTAATCCCCTGGGACAGTCCATCTCAATGCCCCAAAGAAACACTCTCCTGGCAGAATAAGGGTGAAGATAAAGAGGGCGATGGCCTATTCCTGTGCCTATCTGGGAGCACATGTAGGTATGAGTAACAACACCAAGAGATGCCAAGGGGAAAGAAGTTGTGGGAGCCCATGGAATGCAGGAGGGAAATATGAATCCTGTGAAGGGCAAGGTGGTTTCTTTGTGTGGACAACCCTGATAAAGCAATGAAAATGGATAAGGACAGTAAGGACAAGTGCCCTCCAAGGCATTAAGGAAAATGAGATTGTAGCATGGAGAAAGAAAAGAAAGGAGAGAGAGAAAAAGTAGTTGGAAAAGTAAATGACTCAAACCTTCCATTACTGAAAGTTCCAAATGTTTCTTTAATGGCGATCACCAGATTGTAGGCCTTCATTTTGCCCTGGCCAGCATTCCTCATCTTCCTGTTCATAACAAAGATGAGTTTCTCTTCTGACCACTAGAGGTCTCTAGAGACTCACAGATCAATGTCTGAAGTCTGATACCCTCTTGCTATCAACCACTCTGGGAGGTTTATTTTTCCAAAATGAATAGTCACATAGTCACAAGAGATCCAAGGCCTGAATCTTAAATTTCTAAAAATTAAAAAATATATATAGCTGCTTCAGTGGGTAGCTGCCTACTCAACTTCAAGCTGGCACTGACCATCATCCCTCAAATATGTCCCTTGCTATTTTGATGGTAGAAATTCTGCTGTTACTCTGTGTAATAGAGCCTAATTTATACAATATGATATAGAGTTATACCATAGTATGAGTGACTCTGCTGGGTCTTTGCTATTGTGATTGCGAAGGATGACAGATCAGGGTTGGTGGGGAGACGAGGAGGGCAATGAAAGAGGAGCTGAAGACAAATTTCACCTAGACACCATTGCAGAGGTCCTCTTCCAACTTCCTGCCCCTCAGTAAGTGCTGCGGGCATGTAACCCAACTCTGGGGTCAAGTGAACAAACTGCCCTCAGCTTCCTTAAGCCTTTCTGTTCAAAACGATGACTTCCAGACTTTCCTGGGACACTGACATTATCATCTCTGGAGTCCTTGATGTGACTCTCTTCCTGGCCACATGGACTGTAGCTATTTTGGGCGTGACCAACATGTTTGATAGTGCCGGTGATGACAAGTGTACATTTCAACATTCTGTTATTTAGAATACTCATGTAATTATTTGTAATGAATCATTGATGACATCTGGAGAACAATGAAGTCTTCTTTAAATGTTTGGACAATTAGCTATGGGAAATTTTTACTTTGATGAGCTTTCATTTTTATCTCAAGAATTTTGGAATTATTTCCTGTTGCATTCTGGTATGCATTAATTTTTCCTACATTTATCCACCCATCAAACATATATTGAGAGTCTATTATTTTCCTCTTCTGCAGAAGGCTCTGTGAATATGAGGATGAATAGGAAGAATAGGGCAGTGTTCTCAAGAAGTCCATCAGTGGGTAAGAGGGTCAGAGTGTTGAGGTGGTTACAAAGTGCATGATAAATAGAGAAGTAAAAAGTGCATTGGGACTAGGAAAAAATAAAAAAATACTTCTAGAAAAATAAAGTTATCTTTCTCAGCTTGTTTGAAAGTCATCATCTGTTGTCATTGTTTTTTTAGCAGGGAACAGTAATCTGTTAATTCACCCTGATGCCTTAGATACAATTATTAATTGCTTGTTGCTCTTTTAAAAGGTGCTTACCACAGGGCTGAAGGGTAGAGTGCATGGAAGGCAATATGGCCAGAGCCTACTGGTGTAATCCATTCCACAGGAGTGACCTCTCATCTGTTCAGAGGAAGACCAGTGGTTGGTGGGGTTGCCCGTGTTTTCACAGTGGATTTCCTGAAGCTCCTGAGGTTGGTACTGCTGGAACACAGAACATTCTCTGCTGAAGAGAATGTTATAAAGCGCATATGTTCTTTACTTGTTCAATTGTCAAGGACTGTGCCCATCTCTCAGCAACCTAGCCTTTTTTTGAAGCCTTGCTAACAAGACAGAAAATTAGGTGAATGGCTGATATTTAGATGTGGATATCTACAAAGAGGGAGAGAATAAACTGTCTTTTGAGCAGAGAGGTGGGGCAGAAGCTCACTACCTTCTTGGGTCCAGTGTTCTGGGGAGGCCACGTCTTTTGCTGAGGACGGCTTCCTGCATTGTGCTGTGGGTTTGTTTTATTTCTGACCCCAAATAGCATTTGTATTCAGTTCTCTCAATGTGAGAGTGGGAGAGCAAATTTCATTTCTTCATTGAGTCTTGTGCAAAATGATACATGTATTTATAATGAACAACTCCATTTGGCTTTTTAGTTTTAGGTGGGCACAGACCTCAATTGATGCCAGATCCTCCTTTTTCCTTGGAAAATCACGTTTGTACTTTCTTAAATCACATCTATCTACCATTCTGCATTTTCTTTACTCTGATATTCTTTTTGGAATTTTTTTTTCAAATCTCCAAATACAAAGTGAAACAATGGGGAAGATGTTTTTACAAGTGTGGGGTGAACAGGACAGACGTGTTTGGATGTCTGCTATACAGCTTGCTGTAGACCCAACTATTGATCAATAACTGAACGCATGTGAAGACTGTAAGTAGGAAACTTACTTACCAAGAATTAAAAGCCTTCCTAAATCCAAGCTCGAACTTATTTTCAACGCACTAATGTAGGCTACTGGACATTTGTCATGTGCATGGCCAGATTATGGAGAATGGGAGAACCTGAAATTGACAGTTGCCAGGTTAGCATCTTCATGTTCCCTGAACAGAGGAAAGGATGTTGAGGTTGTCATGACATCACTCACAGAAGGCCCTTGCATCACTCTCCTCATCTCCCTTTCGTTACTAGTCAGACTTAGAATCCCAGAGCCTTTTGCTTTGTTTTTCTGCTTCTGTGCTTCAGGGGACCTGGTACTATATAGTCATCACATCAATGCCCTGTAAGGCCCAAAGCCTGGAATCATATTTGCATCCTGTTGACATAGTTATATAGGTTGCTATCATTATCTATTTTTTTCCTCATCTTAAAGGGGCTTTGAAAGCACAATTATTACATATTATCATCTTTGAACAACAATGTCTTTCTTTGATGTCTTTGAATTTGGAGGTCTTAGAACCAATTTGTTATGAGTGAAAATTACAAAACCTAGGTGTGGGGTTGGGGGGAAGTTGGAGAACAGAACAAGGCCATTGACAACTTGATATTCCAAGAGCAGAGAAAGCTATTTCAGGATATGTTTTCTCATTTTGGACATCATATGTCTGTCCATGTTCTGGAAAATGTGGCTCAAGGGTTGCATGAGTCCTTGGCAGCCCTTGATCTGAAGTCCCTCATCCTGGCCTTTGGTCTCCCACTCCTGTACTGTATCCAGGGTGGAGGGTGATGGAGTTGAGTTCGGATCAGCATTTGAAGTAATGCCATCCTCACACTGCCCTCTGCTCAAGTGTACTCAAGTTCATTACAGGGGTGGGGTTAGAGAGCCATTTGTCTTGGGCCTCAGATTGAAGAAGGGCCTCAAAGCTGAACTTTTGAATCTTTCTTCAAAAGATCGTGTGCATATCATTATTAAAATTACTATTGGGACAAAAACGCTTATTTGCTAAGTGTAAATGTACAAAAAAAACCATAATTTTTTAGCAGTATTTTAAAACATTCATTTTTTAAACATATTAGAAGTTTCCAAATGTGGAATTGGCTCAGACATCTCTCAGCCTCTGAGAAGCTCAGAATTTACCACCAAACAGAAGCCAATATATGAAGTCCCTTTGACTTTTGTCCCATGCCACATGACCCAGCTGGTCCCTCTGCTGATAGAGCCTAAGAACAGATTAGATTCACTACGGATCCTGCTCTTTGAGTATGTACTTCAAAGTGGGGTTTTGAACATCAGTTTTTAAACTTTGATCTGCGTGCTTGTAGGACATTAGCATTTTTTTACTTGTAAGAATTAATATTTTACCCGTTGAAAAGTATCCTGACTGGGCGACGTTTCTAACTATTTAAATTGGGAGAAAAAATGCTGAAATGCCCAGAGTTCATGTAACAAAATGTGAAATAGGATCTGCCAATATCTGTTAGTACTTCACAGGAACAAAGCAGTGGAAATGACACTCGGTGTTTGGGCTGTGCATGTGTGTGCGCATGTGTGCACACGTGTGTGTGTGTCTATCTTTGTGCAGTTGGCAAATCAACCCTGAACAGGCCTCGTGTGGCTGAGGCTCATGCATGCACAAATCCAGGTGGTGGCCTCCAAGTGCAAAAAAATGTGTTGTTTTGCCTCTCTCTGGGCAGAAAGTGCTGCCAATAATATCTGAGTAATATCTGGAGCTCATTTTCATTTGGATGTGGGCTTAGGTCTCTAGAATTTTCCAGAAAAAATGTCTGACTGAGCCAATAGGGGAAGCCATGATGCAATCTTAGTGGACTCATTTATTCTTTTCCATTTCCTGTAGATATCTATGTTTATACATTACAAGGCATAATGTGCTTCATCTTATTATGTACCATTATTTTAATTTTTCCAATGATAAAGTAATGCATGCTTTTTCTTTTGTAGAAAATTTGGAGAAATATATCCTATCAAGAAGCTTGAAGGAATCAGGTATAATCTCACCAAGCACTGTTATCTCACGCTGACTTAATTCTAAAAATAATTTTAGCAATTTTTATTATATACCAGTCATTCCATTGAAAATAATAATGACAGAAACACTGGAGTTTTAGGTTTGGCAATCAAAACCTGTTTACCGTGACCCTAAAATACAACAGGGACCTGTTGGGATGCCATCTAAATTCCAAAGGTTACGTAGATACATCCTCAAACCTTTTGTCTCTGTTTTAAAATGACGGTGATGGTAAATATTTATTGTTGACTCTGTATCCTTGTCCTAATGTTTTTATGTGAATCAACTATTTTAATAATTACAAGAACCTTAAAGGAAAGTGCCATTGGTAGAATCCCATTTTACAGATGGAAAAATTGAGATGAGAGAGATTAAGTAACTTGGCCAGGGTTACAGGCTATTACGCTGTAGAAGTGAGCCAGCCTGTCTTCCAGAAACCCTGAGCATCTACCCTTCTAAACTTGAAAGTGTTTAGTTTCTTCAACTAAGGGCACAACTGAGTCAGTCAGGATGTATTTGAGCACATGAAAGGGAAGCAACGTATATCTTTTTGCTTTGATTTCTGTAGAAGCATGTCCCCTGTGTTAAGTGGTGACAAGCCGTGTGGGGGTTTGCTCAGGCGACAGGCTGGAAATGCATGTGTGGCAGGCGGGCTTGTGAGATCACATCGGAAGCTGGCTGGACTCAGTTCAGTCCTTTGGAGTGTCGATTCAGATGAGGGGGGAGAAGAGGTGAACCCCTCTTCTGTGGCTTAGAAGATTACGGATCTGTAACTTCAAAAGCTGTTTGCAATTTTATATTTGTGTCTCACTGCCAAGGTGCTTGTCTTATCTCCACTCTGTTGGCTGGGGCCGCCATGAGTAAGCTGGGCGGTTTCCTCCTGCATTTGGAAGGAGGTTACAGGGGCGAGAAGGGGGGTGGGTGGTGGAGAGGTGAGTGGCTGAGGGGATGACACCAGCGGAAACAAGGGAAATAGGCTGGGAGGAGGGCCAGATGAGCAGGGTGTGTGAGAGTGAATTGGGGGGAGAAGAGGAAAGGCCCTTTCCTAGTCTGCTGATCTGGAGGACACACCATCTAAACAGGAAGAGCACAGAGTGGAGTCAGACAGACCTGCTTGGGGTTCTTGCTTGCTGGGTTTAGGGCTTTGGGACCTTGGGCAATTTTCTAAACCTCTACAGTTCACCTTCCTCTTCTGTACTGTTTGCTGTGTGGTCTGTTTCTTGCTAGGCTCAGGTGATAATGTTGTTCTCAATACTCCATGCCCAACTTGTTAGAAGGAGGAATGCTGGTCTAGGATAGATCTGGGCAGATTTCCTGTCCTTACTCTTCAGCAGCTCTCTGACCATGGGCAAGACTAGGAAGTGTGTGACTTCCCTGCTAAGTTTCTCAATCTGTAAAATGGGTATAATAATACATACCCTTTGAACTCCACAGGGTTTCTGGGAGGCTCAAAGAAGATCAGGTGTTTGAAAAGATTTTGAAAACCTAAAAGGATTATACGATGAGCTATTCTAGCTGCTGGGCGAAAGGTGCAACTGAGTACACAATGCTGGTGTACTGCTGGTTCTCACTCGGGGTTGGCATCAGGGTTTCAGTTGGTGAGCCAGCTCTCATTGACTGGTCGTGGCTGCCTGGAGCTCTACCTGGAGAAGGATTCTGAGCTTTGGCTGGGTTCTGTGGGAAAGAGTGCTGGTGTTGATGAATAATGTCTGTCATGGACAAAGGAGTAGGAGAAGTGCTTCTTGGACTGTGTGTTTGCTCTTTGTGCTTTAGCCTAGTGATTTCTAAATTTGGTTGCTTATTTAGAGTCACCTGGTAAAAATGCCCCATCAGGCAGATTTCTCATTTCATAGGCCTGGATGAGACCTGGGGTGAAGGCAGAAAATCATCTTCTTCTTTTTTTTTGACAGAGTCTTGTTCTGTCGCCTGGCTGGAGTGCAGTGACATGATCTCAGCTTACTGCGACTTCTGCCTCCCAGGTTCAAGAGATTCCCCTGCCTCAGCCTCCTGAGTAGGTGGGACTACAGGTGCACACCATCATGTCCAGCTAATTTTTTGTATTTTAGTAGAGATGGGGTTTCACCATTTTGGCCAGGATGGTCTTGGTTTCCTGACCCTGTGATCTGCCCATCTAGGCCTCCCAAAATGCTGGGATTACAGGTGTGAGCCACTGCACCTGGCCAGAATCTTCATTCTTTAAAGAAAGCTTTCCTTCCTGGTTGTTTTGATAGTTGTGCAGGTGTGGTGAGGTGGGGCAGGCATCAAGTCGCAAGGTAGCTCCGAGTGAGTCTCACAGAGCATTGGAAGAATGGAGCACAGAAGAGTTAAGCAACTTTTCTAGACATGGTCATAAGTTTAAAAAATGTAGATGAGGCCTGTGGTTTTCAGTAGGTTGCCTAACTCTTTCCTCATTAAACAAATGGGTTGTATTGTCTGTTATGATGATTCTCCCACTAGCTTCAGGCCTGATTCTTTTTCCTTGTGGTTCAGACAGCTGCTCCAAAAGGGTCAGACACTGAGATCAATTGCCCATCCTTGGTTCCTGCTCTGAATCGACATCAGTTTGCAACTAGTCATTTCATAAATCAAGGAAAAGAAGAAAGGTAAATTAATGACTCTGTTAACTAGAGGGGCTCTGAAATTTCTGCTTTACATGTACTCATTTCGGATTTCACTTTTATTATAACCAACTTGCAAACACAGCATTGCAATTGTATATGCACCTCCCAAAGATGCTGGGAAGCAGCGGATATTTCATCATTTGAGGACAGCTTGTGCCTGCAAGTGGCAGAGGTGCTGGAGGAGACAAATAAAAGGGATCTCTTTTCCATGAATCTCTGTCTTCTGAGCTGAAAGACAATTGACAAGTTGGCTGATAAGACCTTGGAGAAAGAAGATATTTTAAAACTTTAATTGAAAATCCCCATTCCTTCCATTCAAGAAGCAAAAGAGGAAACTCTAATGATGGGCACACTGGTGCTAGTATCAGCCTTTTTGATCACACGGTGTGGACCAGCCCACCTTGGAGTTCACTGTGCTGGTGGCCTGATCCTAATCCAAGTCCTAATGGAGCTCTGGAAAATGGCTGTAGCTTTTCTGAGCAGGAGCAAATCTGTTTCTGGTTCTTAAGGACTAAAAAGGTAAGGTTGCAGTTTTGGATGCTGGCATTGCTTCAGGGCAACACACACACACACACACACATACACACACACACACACACACTGTACTGTAAGTCATCCTTTCTCATGTATAGGAAGATGTGTACATTTTTTTTCTTGAGATGAAGCCAGACTGAAGACGAAAGAACAGAAAAAAGAATCGCAGGCCCACAGCTTACAAGTCATTCATACAGGCAGGATTCAGAGGCCTCAGCTGCTGCCAAAAGAATCACATTCTGCACGCCTAGTTCTTGATAGTAAATATTGATTTCTACAGCAGCAAATGCTTTTAACTGCCCCTATCTCTGCTCTATGAGCCTTGAATGCATTGGAGTTTGAGGTCTGTGAGTTAAATCTTTGTCTGCCTGCACTTTCCAAGAACTCATGTAAGAATGAAAACACACAGACACACACACAGACACAGACACACACACACACACACACACACACACACACACACACACCATAAAAAACAAAGCAAATAAAAAAACAACAAACACCAAAGCATTGTGACGTGAAACTCTGGTGCTCATTTCTCTGAGGCAATACATCATTTTAAAGCTTCCAATTTCTCAGATAGGAAGTACATTAGTTGTACCAAATCAATTTTCAAATTCTAGGTACTCCAGGATTTATGCTGATTCTAACTTCGAGGGTTGCACTTTTTTTTTTTTGAGACGGAGTTTCACTCTTGTTACCCAGGCTGGCTCACTGCAACCTCTGCCTCCTGGGTTCAGCAAATTAATTCTCCTGCCTCAGCCTCCTGAGTAGCTGGGATTACAGGCACGCGCCACCATGCCCAGCTAATTTTTTGTATTTTTAGTAGAGACGGGGTTTCACCATGTTGACCAGGATGGTCTCGATCTCTTGACCTCGTGATTCACCCGCCTCGGCCTCCCAAAGTGCTGGGATTACAGGCGTGAGCCACCGCGCCCACCCGGGTTGCACTTTTAAGTTTAATTTTGTCTTGTTTTAAGCATGGGAGTGAGAGGAAATACAGGAGTGCACAAGTAGGCAAAAGGGCAGGCATGATTGATGGCCATAGAAAGTCCTGACAAATTTGTAGTCAATATTGTTTGTCTAGAGAAGCTTGTGTGACAAAAGAAGTGTCAGCAGCCACTGAAGTCTCATTCTTCAGGACTGGGCCTCCAAGTTAGAATAGGGGGCTTGAGTGAAATGCCTGTCCTGCTTAATTGGAAAAATCACTCCAGATGAGTGAGAGAGGCTGACAGTTATGCATTACAGAGAGAATTGAGTGTGTCTTACAAGGTTGATACAGGCACCAAAAGTGACTGGCTTTAGCTTTTCCCTATTAGGAAGGCCACTGGAAGGATAAAAGCCAAGAAAAGAAGCTACTACTTGCTTCAGATTCACAAGTGCTTGTAAAAGACTTCCACCGTCATTACTTTCATTGTCACCCTGGTCTTTACCTTAATTCCTTTTTTTTTCCTTAGGTTTTCATTCTGTCCTTTCTTTCTTTCTTAAATACCAGGGACAATTTCACTGGCATACAGTGGAGGAAGAGAAACCATAGATTGTTACTTATTCTCTCTCGGTCTCTCTCTCTCTCTGAGAGTGAATGTTTGCCTGTCTTTGTGGAATTGGTCGTGAACATTTCCAGCCATTGCTTCCAGTGCATGAAGGCTAAACTCACCTTGTCATTTAGTAATTTGTTTATCTGTCAGCATCTCTCACCCTGAAATGATGTGGCTTTAAGAGAGCTGTGGTTTCTCATCTAGGTGAAATGTGACAGCCTGTGATTCTATAAGGGCTGGAGAGTTTTTTTTCATTTCATTTTGTAATTTTTATTTATTTAGTTTTAAAAATTATACTTTAAGGCTGGGCATGGTGGCTCATGCCTATAATCCCAGCACTTTGGGAGGCCGAGGCGGGTGAATCACGAGGTCAAGAGATCGAGACCATCCTGGTCAACATGGTGAAACTCCGTCTCTACTAAAATACAAAAAATTAGCTGGGCACGGTGGCGCGTGCCTGTAATCCCAGCTACTCAGGAGGCTGAGGCAGGAGAACTGCCTGAACCCAGGAGGTGGAGGTTGTGGTGAGCCAAGATCACGCTATTGCACTCCAGCCTGGGTACCAAGAGTGAAACCCCGTCTCAAAAAAAAAAAGAAAGTTATACTTTAAGTTCTGGGGTACATGTGCAGGTCATGCAGGATTGTTACGTAGGTATACACATGAAGGGCTAGCGAGTTTGAGAGAGGAGGTGGTTAACTCGTTCTCTGAGTCCTGGGAGCCTGCTGTTTCAGGGCTAGCACCACCAACATTTGGACGCGTGGGTGCAATTTGCTCATGGGTCTCTTCAGTTGAATTTTCATCTTCCTATTGTGTGTTTAGCATTTTTCTCTGTAATCGCATAGATTTTTGAGAGGTTTCTTTGGCCTGAAGCTTCTGAGCCTGTTTGACCTCCATGACTTCAGCTACCAAGTTGTCGTACAGCAGTGCTTCCTTTGGGTTGTCCCTTGGTGATGTGTTGGGACTGGTGGCACTTATGAAAAGGATGTGGCCTTAAAGACTGCATAATTTAAAACTTGTATAATTCAGGCCATATCCTGAACTCAGTTTTACAATTCATTTGGCCTGCCAGCCTTAAAATACTTTGATCCTCAGAAAGAAGTAAATTTGAGGCACTTATGTTACTTCACATTTTGAGTATGAAGAGACTACATTAATTTTTCATATTGCACTATTTCTAATTTGTGTAAAATATGGCCACATTAGAATATTCTACTGGGGTTTGTGTCTGTTAACTCTTACAGTTTTCAAAAGTATAATCTAATGCATGGAGCTAAGTATCCTAAATCCTACTCATGGAAATGTGAGTCTAAATCTTTTGTAAGAGAGAGGGTAAGCTAACAAGACTTGCAAAGTATTTTGAGGTAAATGTTAAGGCTGTTATTAATATTTATATGGTGCAGCCTGAAATGCCTCATTGATTTAATTGAATTCAATAAAGATTTATTTAGTATCTACCAAGGGCCAGCCCAGCAGAATAGTGGACATTGGAGCTACCACCAGGATCAGGAACTGAAGTCAGTGAATTGAACTTAAGGACCTAAGAATGGTAAACTCAAGCCAGCCATATGTGATCTTTAACATTGCAGAATTTATTTATCTTATTCCCTTACCTTTTAAACTTATTCTTTTATGAAGAAAAACATAACACTGTCACTTGAAGTGAGGAGAAGTGTAAAAGTATTTAAGACATTTTTGAGAATGCCCAGGGACAGAATGGAAAGTCTCTGTGCATTTTTTTGTTCAAGTTTGAAGCATAACACTTATTTTTCACTGTTGAGGCTCCATGCCACTTCCTAGCTGTGTGTCTTTGAGCAAGTCACTTAACCTTGTCTGTGCCTTCATTTTACCTTCTGTGAAAATGAAGAAAATAGAAGCCACTATCACTAAGGGTTGTTACAGGGATTAAGTGAGTTCACATTTGTTAAACTCTCAGAACATCCTGACATATTCTAAATAAATGGTACACTAGTTTTAATAAATAATATATTTTTAAAATGCCTTCATCTTTTTTTTTTTTTTTTTTTTTTTTTTTGGTGTTAGCCTGTATGGTATGCTTTTGCAATGGGGTCTTTGTCTATGATCTGGCAATCTTTCAATGGCAGCTTAATGTTCACTGTCCAGAATGGCAGCTATAAAAGTTTTAGAAGGTGGAATTTAATGTACTCTGAATACAGAACTCAATCCAGATATCAAATTGCCTTGGTGAGATTTACTTCTCTGGTTAAAGTACAATGCAGATAAAGTTCCAATCTTGACTAATGCAGTTATAGTCAAAGTATAATCACATGTTAGAAATGTAGTATTTAAGTAGCATCTGTCACTTAAATACTTTCATAAATGCTGAGCCCCATGGTGGTATTGATGGTCCGAAAATATGTTTTTTCAAGTGCTTTCACACGTGAAAAGATGTAGCTAAAATGTCATTTCTCTATTCTACTTAAAATTAGGTTTCTTGGAGGAACTTCTGTTTTCTGAAACAAACATCTCATTGAGCCTGGTGGTATGTTTAAATATGGATTCACTAAATGTGGGTTTGCTTAAAAACAAGATATGCCCAGCAAACTTTGCTTCCTTTTTTGATAGAGTGGGGAGACTGGTGGGGAGGGGAAATTCCACAGACAAAATGTGTCTGGATTTCAGGAAGACGTTTGATAGAGTCTCTTATGACGTCCTCGTGGGAAAGATGAAGGTATACGAGCAGGGTGACAGTGAAGCTAGGAGGCTGCATGGCAGGCTGGACAGGGCTACGTGAAGGGCACTGAATTCCAGTTGGTGCTCCTTAGGAGGGAGGCTTCTGGGCTGTCTGTGGACCTCACCTTTTTGGCCATCTTGACCTGAGGTTTGGATGATCTCAGTGAGGAGAAATCAAGAAATCAGATCAGTACTAGAGATCACATTTCCCTTTTATGGGGAGAGCTGCTACACAGTCTAGAGTGAATCTGGGTAGTCAAAGGCCTGCAAAACGACTTAAACAAGGAACAGCTGAAGGACCCTGGGAGCATTTAGCTAGAGAAGAGAAAGCTGAGAAACAGGACCAGTGACCTGATATGTGATTTCAAATATTTAAAGGAAGGTCAGGCTGGGCGCAGTGGCTCATGCCTGTAATCCCAGCACTTTGGGGGGCTGAAGTGGGAGGATCACGAGGTCAGGAGTTTGAGACCAGCCTGGCCAACATGGTGAAACCCTGTCTCTACTAAAAATACAAAAAGTAGCCGGCGTGGTGGCAGGTGCCTGTAATCCCTTGCACTCCAGCCTGGGCAACAGAGTGAGACTCCGTCTCAACAACTAAAAAAAAAAAAAAAAAAAAAAAAAAAAGAAAGAAAGAAAAAGGAAAATCAAGTAGAATAGGGAACAAACTGCTGCATCACTCTGGTAGACAGGATCAAGACCAAAAAGGTACAACACAGGGTAATAGGAGTTATTTAAGCAATGAGAGCTGTTAGGTAATAGAATGATTTGCTCATTGTTGGATGAATTTGAGGAGAGGAAACAGGAAGGCTGTTTAGGAAAGTTGTAGATGCCACATATCTGGAGGGCTAAAAGCATGGGCTTGGGTGCCAAGTGGATTGATGCTTGAGTTCTGGCTTTGCTAGTGGCTGGGTGACCTTGGGCAATGCATTTGCTATCTCCATCTATACAATGCAGAAAATAATAGCTCCTTTCTGCTGAGGTGGTTGTGAGGATTTAAATGAAATACTTCATGTGAAATGCTTATATTACCTGGCATGGAGTTAATACTGAATAAATGACAGGTATTGCTATGACCAGTCCTGATGTGAGGGAGGGCTGGAATAGATGCTCTCCTTCCCAAATCTTCCATTTCATATTTCTGATCAATGTAAGTATTAAAAGGGACAAATGTATCTAGGTTATAGCTCTAGAAAGTCTTTAATTGCTTTTTTCCCCTTTGTTCTACTCAGAGCTCCTTTCATCTTCTTGAGGGGTGTATCTTAGGGAAGAAGTGTCAGTTTTCTTTTTCTCAAATACATATCATTAAAAATGAAGTGGCAGTGTACTTGAGCAGGTGCGCCCATTCTGAGGATCCAAGGGGTGTGCTTTTGCTCATGTTCTTGGGAAATGGTGATCAAATTATGCAGAAAACCAGAAAAGAATATGCGTAATTTAAAATCGTGTCATAGATTTTTATGCCTACCAATTTGTCATTGCTTCTATGCCTCATATTAATATAATATGAGTTGGGTAAGTATTTAAATCATTGTGCAGTGAAAAAGAAGTATTTTCATTGTTAGAGACAAAAAGGCAAATGCAACAGCGGCGATGTAACCACGCGTTATGTTTTTATCCAACTTCCTGGTCGAATCCTGCCACAGTTTGCTGACAGTACACCCACGCCACATTTTTAGTGAGAAACAACCATTTCCAGGAGTCTAGCTTTTCTTCATTCTTTCCCACAGCCACCTCCTGCCTCTAAAGTGCTTGAAGACACAGTAGGAAGGCACCAGAGGGCATTCTCAGACCATCTATTATCAAGGAAATACAGCTGGAAAGTACAAAACAAGTCTCCACTTTGGCCAGTTTTGGATGTAGTGGTGGTTTCTATCACACACTCAGGAACACTTGGAGTCTGAAAGCTGCCATGCTAAAAAAAAAACTGCAATTCAACCCGGGGGTATCAGCAGAGGCATTTGAATGACTGACTGCAGGCTGCCCATCCTTCTGCTCCTGTACTGATACCAAGGATGCCCTGGGCAGGCAACATGGACAAGCAGAGAGACCTCTGGCCTGAAAGATCAGAGATGTGGGGATCTTGGTTCCAGCATTAACTGCTTTCTTGACCTTCAGCAAATTACTTTGTGCTCCAAATCTTAGTTTTCTCATCTGTAAAATGAAGATACGAAACAATACGTGAAGATCATTTTGAAGTCTCTCAGTGGTTGAATTCCTTCCTTTTTTTACTCTCCTTCCCTCCCTTCCTTCCTGATTAAACTGAAGGAGAAACTGGGATATATTAATATCATGTTTGGAGTAGATATGTTATGACCTTCTAGTGCTGAAGAGACAGCCTCTGAGGATTGGCAATGCACACTGCTCATTGTCGAGTTGAAAGCTGAGCACCTAGGGTGTGAGTGGCTTTCAAGTTGATTCAGGCTTTTCTGACTGGGGCATGTGCACCTTCACAGTTGGAACAGCCATGGGACATATATAGTCTAGCGTCTTGGAACATTGATTCTACATGAGAATTCTGGAGAAAAATATGACATTTTTAGTGTTAAACAGAGATATTATGGAACATAGGTTGAATTTTTGCTGCATTTTTGCAGTGAAAAAAGACTAAAAATATGGGGTTTGTGGTTGGATGCTTTTGGGTGTACTTTCGTATCTCCTGACATTATAATTATCTCTTTGTATTATTTGGAGTGTACTGGAGGGAAATTTTGGGGAAGCTTACCCCTAGGGGTACATTTTGAATGTATCTCAGGTTGAGTTTCCTTGAAGCAGAGCCTGAGGCAAGCATTCGCCCACATGCCATTTCCTGAGAGCCTGGCATATTCTTTATGGGGAACAACTTGCCAATAAGTGAGAGAAGCAGGATAGGAAAGGGCAAAGAGCTGTACAATGATGTGGTCTCAAGGAATGTGATCTGATTCATTGTGTGTGTGTGGGTGGGGGCGGCTGGGTTCTGATGAATAATTCACTCCCCAGAATTGACCACCTGAGGCAAGGGGGATAGAATTGTGTACACCCATATCAGTTGGTCATTATTTACAGGTATATATGGGTGAAGCCTAAAAGGGGACACTCTTCAGTCAGGAGGCAATTCCCCAGAGAAAGGAACAGCTATAAGCTGTATGTAGCCATGGCATGCTGGAGTCAGCTCATCACAGCTTAAAATTGCTGACTGCACATCCCTTCCCAAATGCCCATTCTGTGACTTCACCCTGACAGCCTGCAATCGGCCAAGATGGAACCATTTACATCATGAAAATCAACAAAAGCTACAAATCCCAGGCCTTAAACTCCCACAAGCAGCCAGATGTTAAACGTTTACCAGCACAGCCCTGGCCAACCTTCTCTGCAGCAAGAGGCTGGTGTCCTGGCTGGTGAAGGGGATCAGAGCAGGGCACCAACAGCATTTACTGCATTGGAGTTACAGAAGATTTGCCAACAAATTATCTCCCCAGCTAATTTGTCAGTTGGCAAGCCATTCCTTTAGGAGTTGCCTTTCCTAACCAGAAGAGGAGATGCATACAGTATTGAGAATCATAGGACTAAGAATCCACCACGCTCCAGTCAAAATGACTGAGTACGTTTTATAAGTGCAAGAGAAGGGCAGAGAGGAGGTGAGGAAAGAGTGTGTCATCTGAATCACCTGCAGTAACAAGAAAGGGCTTTGTTATACTGTCTAGGGGCAGAATTTAGAATAGCTATAACACTATAGTATTTTTTGGAAGAATTTTTTTTTCAGAATTTATTATTTAAAACCCTGCACTTGACTGAGATGATGGATAGTTAGACTTCTTATTATAAGATTATTAAGGAAAAGTTCAAATATACATAAAAGTATATCAACAGCTAATGAAGAGTGTAATAAACCCTCACATACTCATCCCTCAGATTCAAAAATTAACTTATAATCAATCTTATTTCATTCACACCTCTACTCACTTCCTCGTGGGAGCATGGGAAGTTTTGGAGACATAGTTAATTGAATTAAAGTTGAATGTGGGTAGCAAAAAGCCAGAGGCTGGGTGTGGTAGCTTACACCTGTAATCCCTGGATTTTGGAAGTCTGAGGCAGGCAGATTGCTGGAGCCCAGGAGTTTGAGACCAGCCTGGGGAACATGGCGAAACCCTGTCTTTACTAAAAATACAGAAATTGGCCAGGTGTGGTGGTTCATACCTGTAATCCCAGCACTTTGGGAGGTCAAGGTGGGTGGATCACAAGGTCAGGAGTTCGAGATCAGCCTGGTTAATATAGTGAAACCCTGTCTCTACTAAAAATACAAAAATTAGTTGGGTGTGGTGGTGGGCGCCTGTAGTCCCAGCTGCTCGGGAGGCTGAGCCAGGAGAATCGCTTGAACCCTGGAGGCAGTGGTTGTAGTGAGCTCAGATCATGCCACTGCACTCCAGCCTGGGCAACAGAGTGAGACTCTGTCTCAAAAAAACCAAACCAAACCAAAATCAAAACCAACCAACCAAACAAAAAATACAAAAATTAGCTGAGTGTGGTGGTATGTGCTAGTTACTTGGGAGGCTGAGGTAAAAGTAAAATGCTTGAGCTCTAGAGGTTGAGGCTGCAGTGAGCCATGATTGTGCCACAGCCCTCTGGCCTGGGTGATAGAGCAAGGCTCTGTCTCACTGAAAAAAAAATAAATAAAAATAAAAGGCAGATTTGAGGAATTTACCAAGGAGTGTGGGAAAGGATTTGACAGATGGAAGACACAGCAACTAATGGACCACTTCCCTAACCTATTAGGATCTAGTAGGAATCATTAGAAGACACATGAAATGCATTGCATGAGACATGTATTCTGATTACCCTGGCAACTTTTATCTCCAGCTCTTTCTAAAATGAAGAACCAGAATGAAAAGAAGAGTTACGAGGTTCCTATGAAAGGAACTCGGTACTTCTTTGCTCTGTGAATACTTCTTTTTCCCCTGGGCTTTCTCTTTCTCTTCAGGTAGGCAAGAGAAAAATGTCAAGACAATTTCTGGGTACAAATTCTAAATGATATTCCATCCTAAAAGCAAGGCTTGTTGCCACCGTAACAAGATAAGAATCTTAATTCTTTTTTGATGGGCAAAGAAATGTTATTAGAAAACAGAAGCAAGCTTGGACCTTCTTATGATAGGTTTACTGGACTTACAGTGATGGATTATGGCCTATACACAAGACTCATCTTTCTTTTTCCTTTCACAGTCTTTGTTGATCTGTGATAAGAGATGGCTTCTGACCTTTTTCTAAGAATAACAGGTTTCCTTCTCTGCTTTCTGGCCATTCTGCTTTCCCTCTTACTGGCTCCTATGCCAAAGATAACACATGTGAGTGCTTGACAATCTGGAGTTGAAAGAAGTTGTTTGAAAGAAGTTGTTATGGGGCCTCAGGAAGCACATGTTTGAAAAATTAATTAATTTGTATGAATTAATAAACTAGGGAAAACTTGGTTCAGTCATAATATATTTATCACTAGAATCTTCTACCAAGGATAGTTGGAAGTAGACAAATGACTTGAAAAATTAGACCTTTGGGAGCTTCAGAAAGTCAGTGCTGAGGGAAGAGTAGATACAACAGCAGAGAAACAGCTCTGTCTAGATTACTGTCTAGCTGGTTTCTTTTTTTTTTTTGAGACAGAGTCTCACTTTGTCGCCAGGTTGGAGTGCAGTGGTGCAATCTCTGCTCACCACAACCTCTGCCTCCTGGGTTCAAGTGATTCTCCTGCTTCAGCCTGCTGAATGGCTGGGATTACAGGCATGTGCCACCACGTCCAGCTATTTTTTTTTTTAATTTTTAGTAGAGACGAGGTTTCACCATGTTGGCCAGGATGGTCTCAATCTCTTGACCTTGTGATCCTCCTGCCTCGGCCTCCCAAAGTGCTGGGATTATAGGTGTCAGCCACCGTGCCTGGCCTTGTCTAGCTAATTTCTAATAAAGTGGCTGAAGCTACTTAATTGGAATTGCCCTAGAAAAAGCCCTGTACTTTGTTCATGTGGGGAACCTGAGAAAGAAGCTCCCAGATGCTATAGACAAGTGCATGAGCTATTTATTGACAGAAGGTTTTCACTTGCCAGTTGTGTGGAAGAGGTTGTTGACAGGTTGTGACTAAAAGGCAGAAAATAAAAGAAAGCATTCTTTTCTAAGGGATGGTTATGAGTGAAGATTGGAAAAGGCTGTGCAAGCATCGATTCCTACAACTCATCTCTTCTAGCTAGTAAATCTTGAAGATAAATTTAAGTTTAAAACTGACCATAGGCTGGCTGAATTTCTGTTGAGGTTTTTTCACAGTTATTGGGAATCAGACTTAATTCTTTCAGTGGGCTTCTTGGCCTCTTTATTGGAACCCACTTTTCATTGTTTCTTTTTCACTGAGATGTCATGATGTGAAAGTAAAAGCAATTTGCAATCAAGGTACATAAATATTTCTGACCTCTTACCAAACAAAAAAACAGAATAGTATTGAACATATACATGTATGTGTGTATATTAGCAAAAGTCGATTTGTTAAAAAGACTTTATTTTTTAAAGAAAAAGACATTTTAAGAGCAGTTTTAGGTTCATAGCAAAGCTGAGAGCTCTCCCTGTATCTCCCTATATATCCCTGCCCCAACATATGCAGAGCTTCTGTCATTATTAACATTCCCCCCTACCAGAGTGGTACATTTCTTACCTACATTGACACACCATAATTACCCAAAGTCTGTGTTTAGATTAGGGCTCACTGGGTGTTGTACAATCTATGAGTTTTGACAAATGTACAATGATATGTATCTGTAGTATCATATGGAATAATTTCAGGATTTCATTTAAAATAACTTTATTCTTGATAACTTTTGTTCTCTCAGGTTGCCCCTGACTTGGCCCCAGATCAAGCATGGTAACTGCATGTTACAAGATGCATATAAGTTCATGTTATAAAAAGTGCAATGAGATCACACGTTTTTGTAAGAGAATATACTTGGTGAAACCTAGGGGAAATAATTTTGAAATGCAAAATTGTTACCCAAAGCAACAAAATCCACAGGCAGAATGAAAATGTTAGTGTTCACTTAGCCCAAGTGGAGGGCTCCTTAAATTCAGGATCATTCTTGCACATTGATTCTGAGTAGAGACCAACAGACAACGGGTCTTCAAACACTCTTTTACAAGAACCTCCTTTGAGTTCGTTTTGAACTTCTGTGACCCAAGTTCTTTCAAAAGGAGAAAACATAATCACTTGGGAATAAGTTCCAATCAACCTGATTCACATTAGCTTGTCTTTTGGGTAGAACAAGTGCCAGTTACCTTTATTTTCCCCTGTGGTATAATAAATGGGATAATTTCAGGTAGCCTCCGTGACCAAATCCTAAATCTACTTTGACAGTAAATATGTGGCAATGGCTTTAATCACCTTAAAATTTTGACTGTGCAACGAGTTTATGATCTAAAGGCTGAGTGAAAGGAATCCAGATTTCTTTCAATTTGTTGTGATGGGGATAAAGGGGAACTAGGGGATTAAGATTAAATGAAAGATATAAAAATGTAGATTAGGGAAATGTTGGGGTATTAATTTCAAAAAGCATGTGGTTAAAAACATATGAAGTGCTACTGAATGTATATATGAATTCTTTTGTCCATTAACAAGTGTATCAGTGGCAGTCCTCACATGGCACAGGGCAGCACTGTGAAGGAAGAGCCTTGACTCTGACACTCACAGAACTAGGCAGAAGCATACCTGGAACTAGAGCAGATGCATCCAATACCTACCTCGTGGGTTGCTGAGAGAACTAAAGGAGATAATATTGTGTGAAAAAAGTACTCTGTGAGCTACAAAGCTCTAGCTAAATACTCGTTATTATTTTAATATAAGAATTAGTACTTATTCAAAAGATCTTGTGGGAAGACTAACAAGAATGAAGTAAACTGCATATAATTCAATTTTAGATTGAATTATATGGATGAATGATTTCTTTTTCTCTTTCTTTCTTTATCTTTCTTTCTTCTTTTCTTTCTTTCTGTCTTTCTCTCTTGCTCTCTCTCTTTCTTTCTTTCTTGATGGAGACTTGCTCTGTCACCAAGCTGGAGTGCAGTGGCACGATCTCGGCTCACTGCAACCTCCACCTCCTGGGTTCAAGTGATTCTCCTGCCTCAGTCTCCTGAGTAGCTGGGATTATAGGCTTGTGCCACCATGCCCAGCTAATTTTTATATTTTTAGTAGAGATAGGGTTTCACCATGTTGGTTGGGCTGGTCTCGAACTCCTGACCTCGTGATCCACTGCCTCAGCCTCCCAAAGTGCTGGGATTATAGGCATGAGCCACTGAGCCTGGCCTCGATGGATGATTTCTGCAGGACACCAGTGATGAGAAAAATACAGATAAGCTGGAGTGCTTTGCAAATGCTCAATGAAAGAGAAGGGATTTGAGCTTGTCTTTGAAATGTAAATGGAATAAACCAGGAGAATAAACCAATGGGGTAAAGTGTTTCAGACTGGAAGAACTTTAAGACAATGTAGGTAGAAACAGAGAAGGTGTGTTTTGGGACTTGTGAAGAAACAGGTTCCTTCATTTGTTCATTCAGTCATCCAACAATCTTTTATAGGCTCCAACTCAGTGTCGAGTGATGGAGACAATAAACGAAGGTCTCTGCCCTTAGGGAGCTCAAGTCTGGTGCACATGTTGAAAGTGCTGAACAGGACAGCCCAGGTGGGGTGCAGAGCTCCAGGAAAGCTATTCGGTGAGGAAAAGTGGACTTCTGCTGTGTAATTATGGTTAAGGAACATGAGAGGAAACTTGTAAAGGCTGAAAGAACAGCAAAGTGAAAATCAAGATTTAATTTTTATACTGAGTTATTAACATATAAAATTAGGCACATTCATATTGTAATATGTTTATTTAAACAGATAGTGATTCATGAATTTCATGAATTGGGCATCACCAGACTGTAAGCAGTTCAGGGTTCCCCTGAAGGTGTGCAAAGATAAAACTTTCATAATGTGTTTTTGAAAACAAGACAAATAAAATATTTCATTGGTTAAAGTGGGAAGTCCCTAGTTAGAGGTGAGTTGACAGTTTCTGATTAGTTAAAGACTAAGTTTTGTTTTACTGTTTTCAGTGAGTTGAGTTTCTGTCTGCTTATATAACCCAAGGTGCTGGAGCCATCTCAGCCTAATGGCTTCTCAATTAATTGTTTTAACAGAGTCCAACTCCTGACTGGCAGTGGGCCCTTGGATTTGTTGCCTAATTTTTCCCAGCATTAGTTTCTTTAAATGAGGGAGTGAGGGTAGATGGTATGGATAGTCTGTGTCTTTCCTTGATGTATTGTTAATGTTAGCCTTTGGGATACCAGTGTCAAGGGAAAAGGGGAAGGGTAAAGAATTAAGAGCATAGGAAAGAAGTGCAGAGAATTGGGAAAACTTTAGAAAGCAGAAGAATGAAGAGAGCAGGGATTAGTGGGTAAAAGCCACATAAAGATGATTCCAAAAAGAATAGGGAACACACTCAAGTTAAACATAGTAGAACACAAAGACTGGGGAGGAAGTGGGCCTGTCAGTAGTGGGTGGCAGCTGCCATGGAATGGAAGCTTGAATGCCTGCTCTACTACTTGATAACTGAATGATGTCAGGCGAGTCACAGTCACCTGATTGGCATAAAGGTTTCCGAAGATAATGCAGCTAGAAGCACCTGGCACGTAGTAGGACTCAGCAAATACTCAGATACCGTTCATCTAGGAAGATGTGGTCTGTTTTAACTGTAAATACAAATAATTAATGAGGGTAAAACGGACTAGTGTATGAGTTTAACATAAGGAACTGTAAATAAAGCAGGGCAAATGGAAGACTGGGTGGCGTAGCTGTGTGCACTAAAAGGCCAGTGTTTCAACATACCTTGGCTAAGGGCTATTTATTTATTTTTCTCATTCTCCAAGGCAGTGATATTTACTGATGAGGTAAAGCTAATAAGCATCTATTTGATTTTCCTGCCAGTAGCACCCTGATGTTGCCCACCTGCTGTTTCCCCTCTGAGGTCACTTAATTAAGGAGTATTTTTTATGTGACACCTCATTAGATCCTCCAGGATGCCATGTGTGGGAAGCAGTTCTGCAAGAGCCCTTATCTACCCCATACATGCTGGGCTGCCTGGAAGAAACACTCCTACCCCGACAAGACCCTGCATTTAGCAGCCCTTTGAAGGCAAAGTCTGTGTGACCACAGACCTGGCTTTTGGTCCAAATAGAAGCTGCCATGGATGTCATTTGGGTTGAGGCATGACAGTCATCAAGAGGTGTGGGTTTGAGGAACAGCAGATCATAAAGCATTGTGGTCACAGCAATGGTTTGGTAATTTATGTCTGTGTGACTGAGCCAAGGGGCTGACGAAGAGGTATTCTCACATCTTATATCAGAGGGAACTGGAGATCTGGAGATGCTGCTACTTGTGGGCTGTGAAAAGCAGGGTGTTACTTTTTTATTTTTTTAAATTTGCATTTTTATTCGATTGTTTTAGCTGAAACTGGAAGTCAGAAACTGAATAAATGTCTCCAAACCTAGTTTAAGTAATACAAGAATCTATTCAACCTGGCTCTGTCTGGAAGGCTTGGACTTGGATTTTTTATTTTATTAACAACTTTATTCTCTGCTATTTGCCAAGCTTTGGTTCAGGCATTTTGCTGAATTGAGAACTATGGAAATTTGTTGTAATTGGAGGGGAAAGAATCACATGTGGTTTCTTCCAAACCTTTTTCCAATTCTTCTTTTTCTTGTTGTTTTGAGTACCATGGGAGAATTACTCAGAATGGTCCTTTTCTCCTTTAATGATGCAACAATGCTTGGTTTGATTTGCCTGTTTTTATTTTCTAGCTGCATTATAATTACATTTGCCCACATGACTTATTTTTTTTCTTCCAAATTAGTAGATATAAAATTCTGATGGTTCTTTAGGGAGCTGATCTTCAGAGATTCTCTCCTTGGGCTGTCCTTTGTGTGGGAATAGATGATGCTGGACAGCCAGACCCTTGCCTGCCCACTTAGTGGCAATCCATCACCCCAGGCCTTTTAATTAGCCGTTGCAGGTGAATCACTAATTGGACCCACATTTGCATACATAAGCCAGAGATTTTCAGGTTTACAGTTATAAATCTTAGTCACGCAGGCAGGGCAGAAATGTTAGCGTTCATCCCTCATTCCTTATAATTGCCTCATCAGCTCTTTACAATGGATTTTCCTATCTTGGTACTTGTAAATGGGTGAAAAATGACTTGCTTCATTAATTTGTTAGAAAAAAGAGGTGTTTTTTGAAGAAGAAAGGAGTAAGAAAAAACAAAGAAAAAGCATTTAAACAGGCCTCTTTTAGGCAGCAGCAGGGTGACGTGGTGCTTGAAAAATAGCAGTTAGTTTAATTTTTTTATTGCTTAGAGATTTTTTTGTCTGTGGCAGTAGCATGGTGAGCAGTAGCAAAGACGAGACTCTTAAGGAGTTTATACTTTCCCGAGACAGTCAAGGCTTCCTTACCTCGAGCCTACATTGATTCTGACCTTCAGGAGCCTAAGGAAAATTCAGGCTTAATGTTAGATATATCAAAGGGTCAGTCTATTTTCAGAGCTCCTCCTGACTGAGTGGTCCTGGCACATGATCTGAGATGATGCTGTGGGCCTTCCGGTGGCTACTTTGCTGAGCAAGGTTTGTGATCCTCAATGTATCTGGAGGCAGAGAAGCTCCCAGCTTCTAGTCATTTCTTAGAAGATCCCAACTGGTCATTCAGTTAAGGACATTTCAACCATAATCAAATACTTTTTGCCAAGGAACTGCATGTGTCAAGGGCGAGACTGTTCATGATACAAAACCTACATTAATATCAAGTCCTTGGTCTGCCACACAGCAGGATGGAAGTGCAAAGGCAATTGGTGAGACAAATGTATTGACTTATTTAAAGAGAAGGCTCTAAGTTATATTTAGTTTCATATAAGAGAGAATGTCACTATTTATTTTTAAGGCCATGATCATGGGCCACAGGGTTCTCAGGTCAATACAGGGTGTAGAACAATCAAATAGGTATGGGCAGTCTTTACAGGCCTGGATTAAGTTCCCCCCAGCATACGTTCTCATACCAGGCCCCAAATGCCACCTCTTCCTTGCACATAAGTCAGTTAAAGTGGCTTAATTTTTATTTGAGATGTTTATACTCCTCCAATTGGACCAGAGATGACACTGCCTCTGCTTCTCTCCTTGCTGACTTCAGGGCTCACTGATAGCTGCACTGATTTTATTTCTCAGTCTTAGAAGCTGCCTCCCTTAATATAGCATGATGTCACTTTCCCCATCATTATGTAGGTAATATGTTTTCCTTCTCCCAGTCAAGTTGATTTTGTACTGTGTATTCCAATTTAACTCTCCTGTCCCTTCCTAAAGAAGCAGAGTTCTTGCTTGC